TTAGTTGTTGTGTGTGTGTGTGTGTGTGTGTGTGTGTGTGTGTGTGTGTGTGTGTGTGTGTGCGTGTATGTGTGTGTGTGTGTGCTTAAATTAGGCACTTTTTCTTTACTTTTTTTGTTCGATGTGTTATACAAATATGTCCATCATAATATTGAAGTAAATTCGATGTTGAGATAGGTTTGGTCAAAATTTGAATTGTTTAAGTATAAAATAAATTAACCAAAAGAAGATCAGTGATTGACACTGAGTTCAATGCTTGATACCGAAAATACTTTTTTTTTTTGTTCCAGTTTCATTGCTCCCAAAACCGATGGGCGTTGCAGCATTGTCCAAATAAGATTTAAATTTCAGTAATACAAAATTTGGTTAAAGAGCAGAAGTGGGCATTTGTATAATTTTAATATTGATGTTCCTACAGTAGTAGTTGATTTGAGATTAATCAGCGTGATTCCATTGAAAATAATATTTGTTTCTTTAATTTCCATTAAAAATAATATTTGTTATTCAGAAAGACGAATAGTCTGAAGCATTTTCTATTCGCTTATGTGCGGTGTTGATCATATTATTTTCAATAGAATCACGCTGATTAATCTCAAACCAACTGCTATTGTAGGAACATCAATAATAAAATTATATAAATGCCCACTTCTGCTCTTTAACCAAATTTTGTATTACTGAAATTTAAATCTTATTTGGACAATGCTGCAACGTCCATCGGTTTTGGGAGGAATGAAACTGCAACAAAAAAAAAATATTTCCGGTATCAAGCATAGAACTCAGTGTCAACCACTGATCTTCTTTTGATTAATTTATTTTATACTTAAACAATTCAAATTTTGACCAAACCTATCTCAACATTGAATTTATTTCAATATCATGATGAATATATTTGTATAACACATGGAACAAAAAAAAAATAAAGAAAAAGTGTTTAATTTAACTACCACACAAACACGAACACTCACAACAAATTTCAAAACCAAGCTTTGAGACAGATGTGGAGTTCGAAGGAAAGATTTCATGATATTATTCAGTATATATTTATTAAAAGCATTAATTACAAGTGATGGAGCAATGCAGTTCTTCCCAGGTCAATATCTCATCAGTTCTCAAAGTTTGGAAAAGTTGAAGTAAAAGGATATAAAACTAAGCAAAAAATGTTGCGAAAGATAATAAATCAAATTTGCATTGATTAATTATTCTTTCGTAAATTAATTATTTTTCACAATGTAATATGGCAACTAGAATGAAATTATTCATCAAAGAACATTAAACAGAATTATCTTTTTATCAAATTTGTAACTATGTAAGCTTCCATGAAATCTGCATTGAAAAACTTACGTCAATGTCCAATAAGAAGAGGTTGTTGTGTCAGATGCTTAAATGAGAGAAGATTGTATTATACCCGCAATGAATGCGTACCGATCTCTTTTCAATGCTAATATATTTAGAAAAGTATGTACTTGTTTTGCACAATTGTCAAACAGCAGGCAGTGTTGTTTCTTATATGCAACCGCTTCTTTAGTGCACTGCTAAATTTGAATACTATTTTTCAGAATTGGCAAGATATTACACTTATCAATATGCATTTCAACTGTTTCATCTTCTTCCTTTTCCAGCTCTGCAACACTCAAGCTGTCGTAAGTTCATTTAAAGTAGAAGTAGAGCTGAAATATATTAAGATTTTAGCGCAGCATAAGAAGCTCATAATTTTATATGATTTGAGGAGCTACAAACAGAACCGCTGGATTTAACAATATCAAGAGTGTGTGGTGGACGGATTGAACCACCAGATGCATCAATAGCAGAAACAAGTGGGGGACAAGCGGAACTCAGCGAAACTGATCAGGAAGATGCAGCAAGGTCATTGAACTTACCAATTCAAGAAGCGAGTAGGGAACAAACAGGTGTAGGAGATATGCCGAAGAAAATCTGGTTTATGAAGTATCAAAATGAAGCATCCAACAACCAAATACTCAGAAGGAAACATCCGGAAAAAACGATTCATACAGGTGAGAAGCGGTTCAAATGCGAAATGTCCAAGAAAGATTTCGATGTGCCATCAAGCATAT